CGAATGCGAATAGGGTTGAATATATGTGAGATCGGGTGGGGCACAGTGGGCCAGACTAGACGTGGCGGGCGTGCCCGTGCATCCCGTATTTGCCCCAGATATAGACTGAATATGGGGGTTGCTGGTCAGTTCGAGCGTTCGGACCAGATTTATCATGTCCGAATGAGTGCCAATTTTACGTCCGATAAGTGTCCGAGCAGCCCGCGCTTAAATGTTTGGGTCGGATATATCGGCCGGTTGTAAATGCTCTAACTAGAAGAAGACATGTTTTCTCATGTGGCAGTCATAGACAAGAACAAGAGTGATGTTTCTTTTTTATAAGAAATAATCCATAATATTAATTAAGAATAATAGTTTTACAATTGTTCGTTACAGGCTTACATCAGTCACCACAAAGGGTGGAACACGAATTACAAGTAAACTATCAGCACGAATATCAAAATAATACTATCTCTCTCCTGGTTTATTGATCCTCTTCATATTTTGTGTCAAAATTTGACTAAAGATTTACCTGACAAAATGTTAATGCATAATATAAAAGATTATATATTTGAATTCATATTTAACATAATTTTCAATGATACTATTTTTTGTAACACGCATTACCATTTTGTTAATTAAATCCATGGTCAAGATTTGGCACAAAATGCTTGTAGTCGTCACTACGTGGTCCACGGACCTAGTTGTAATTTTTATTATCTTTGATGTTCTTTGTACCGTCATGATTAAAAATGAATAGATTGAAATTTTTTAGAATTTTTTTTACACAAAATACTTTTTTTGCATGATAATATGTGTCTTATTAATAAAATAAAGATTCAGTTACATCGACATTACAAGACTAAAAAGATAGGATAATCCTATGCAAAAAAACAGTGCATGTCCCTCACCACTACGAAAAAGGAGACACATCACCACTTCGCCTGAGTTCGACGCGGCTCCATCGCTGATCAGCAGCTTTACGAACCTCCAAAGTAGTTTACCTGGAGCAAAACCATTATTGTTGAAACAATCAGACCGGGACAACGTGTCCCTAGACACGTCATCGAACTCCAGAACTAACGCCCCCGCACGACTACAACGTCGGAGGAGTAAACCAGAACTGTCAGCCTTCAACCAGAAACCCAGCACAAGATGCACCATCTTCCAACTGTCACTTGCGTAGACAACCGTCTACGCGTGCTCCTGGACGACAAAGCCTGCCTGCTCCACCATGACGTCGGAGACAACGCCGTAGCAACGGGGACATAGTAAAAGGAGAGACACACCAGACGGAGTCGCCGCCACCGCCTCGCCGACACCATCCATGAACCATAACGCCACCAATCTAAAGGATTGGCAAACACACGATGCCATCAACTCCGAGACGGCGCCATAGAGGGCACCGTCGTGTGGGAGTGGAGTTGAGACAAATTACCTTTTTACTTTAATAATCCCTCATCTTCAGAGTGATCAGGCACACTTCTAGCCACTCCGTCCAAGTACCTTTCGTGGTAAGTAGTAGGGGCACGCCCTACTTGAGGCCATTTAACTCAGTCTTTTTCTTTTTTCTGCTTCTCCGTTTTTTCATTCTTTTTGCATTTTGTTTCTTTGGTTTTTGTCTTTCATTGGTTTATATTGTTTCTATTTCAGTTTTCTTTGTTCTTTTGATTTTTATTCTACATTTTGTTTTATGTTAACAACATTTTTCTAATATAGGTCTAACATTTTTCCAATAAAAAATTAACATTTTGCAATACATGGTCAGCATTTTTTCTATACACATTTTTAACATTTTTCAAATATTTGATTAAGATTTAAAAAAAACAAGACTATTTTTTAATACATGGTCAACAGTTTATATATAAACACTTTAAAACTTTTTAAATGCTTGATTAACATTTTTTAAATACAAGATTAATATTATACATGGTAAACATTTTTTCTATGCACATTTAATATTTTTTCCAATACCTGATTAACATTTATTAAATTCAATATTAACATTTATTTAGTACATGGTCAACATTTTTTCTAAACACATTTAACATTTTCTAAAATTCCTGATTAACATTTTTCAAATACTTGTTCAACATTTTTTCAAATGCCTGATTAATATTTTTATATACATAATCAAATTTCCCCTTCATTTTTCTAATACATGGTCAACATTTTTTATATACACATTTAAAATTTTCCAAATGCTTTATTAACATTTTCTCAAATGGTTGATTAATATTTTTATATACATGATCATATTTTTTTCAATTTTTAATACATGTTTAATATTTTTCCTATACGCGTTTAACATTTTCCAAATGCTTGAATAATATTTTTAAATACTTGTTCAGTATTTTTTCAACTTCTTGATTAGTCATTTTTATATACATGATAAAAAAATTTCATTTTATGATAGAAAAAGTTCATCATTTCATAATACATGTTCAACATTTTTCTCTATACACATTTAGCATTTTCCAAATGCTTGGTTATCATTTTTCAAATAATTTTTCATTTTTTTAAGTGCTTGATTTATTTCTTTATATACATGATAAAAAAATTAGTCATTTTTAATACATGGTCAACATTTTTTCTATACACATTTAATAGTTTTTAAATGCCCGTTTATTGGTTTTCAAATACTTATTTATATGGTTTTTAAATGGTTGATTAATATTTTTTGAATACATGATCAATTATTTTATACGTGATACACATTTATTTCTATACACATTTAACATTTTTCAAATGCTTCCTCAACATTTTAAATTGCCGTTGGGTGGATGTTTGTAGGCCAACCCTTCTTAGGGATTCACTTGTATTTAGTAGCGCGTACCCCCAACCCGCTTCGCGCATGGGTGTCGTATGGGCGGGCCCATTTTTATTTTTTTCTTCCTTTTCTTTTCTTTTCTTTTTTTCTTTTTTCTTTTTTCCTTTTTCCTTTTCCTTTTATGTTTCCATTTTTCTTTTCTCTTTTTTATTCTTTACGTTTTCACCTTTTTTCGAAAATTTTCTTTTCTAATCCACGAACACTTTTTTGTTCAACGAATTAGAAAAATGTTAATCGAATTTATATTTTGTTCATCGGATTTTAAAAATGTTCGTCAAATTAAAAAAATCATCGAATTAGAAATTTTGCATCAAATACGAAACTTGTTCATTGATTTAAAAATGTACATCAAATTCAAAATTTGTTCATTGGATTCAAAATTTCTTCATCCACTTTTTTAAAATAATTTTCTTGAATAAAAATTTTGTTCATCAAGTTCAAAAAATGTTCATCAGATTCAAAATTTGTTCATAAAATATCAAATAATGTTCATCATTATTGAAAAATGCTCATAAAAAATGTTCATCAAAATAAAAAATATTCGTCAAAATTGAAAAAATGTCCATTATGTTGAAATTGCAATTTT